CTTTTCCTGTCCATTCTGTTTAATTCTCAGAGTGCTCCATCAGGCACTTGCAGAGGTTCCTTTTAGCTTTTTTTGGTATGTGCATTGAAATGTCATAAGAATACATTTGAGTTTATATGGTATGATTTGCTTTGAATATTCCATTAAATATATTGAATTAATTAAAGCAACTGGTATGTGCAATTTCTAATTGCAAAGAAACCAGAAAAAAAAAAAAAACAGCAAAATTATCTTGAAAAACCAAAGAAGCTAAAAACTTTATGTACATCTATGGCCATACCACCCTGAATGTGTCTGATCTCATCTGATCTTGGAAGCTAAGCAGGGTCGAGCCTGGTTAGTACTTGGATTCTGCCTGGGAATACCAGGTGCTGTAGCTTTTTTTTTTTTTTTTTGAAAAAAAAAATCAAAAACTTTATGTACATTTAAATATATTTCTATCAGAGATTAAGAATTTTGGGACACTAAATTCTACTTAGTTTCAACACCATGGTAAAAATGGTGGTCAACAGCTCCATTTCTCTAGTTCTAGTGTTTCCAAAGGTAACAGACATCACCCTAATGAGCTTCAAAAAACCTCCCCAAAACAGAGATGGTAAGGGAATTCTAGGACAGCATTAGCAAAATATATGCATATGAAAATATGAAAATATATGCATATGAAAAATTTAGAATTCTTCATACAAATGTCAGGTAGCTGGAAGCTTCTGGATCATTTACTGATCACAGAAAAGGGCTTTTTTGTTTTTTCTTTTTCTTTTTGTTGACCTTGAAAGAGATATTAGTTAGCCTTAGGTGACTACAGGTCATAGAACTGGTCTTAACTTTCCCTAACAATGTTTAAGCTGATTTAAATAATGTCACTGTACATCATTATTAGGCTAGAGACAGCCCCAAATTTCTCCATTTTCATTAAATACAACTTATTTTTAGCTCCACAACAAATAGTTATCCTTTAATGATTTTCTAAATGGCAACTTTTTGATTCTTAGGTTTTAATATTCTGAATCACAAATTGTGCCCATTTTTATTTCTCTAATTAAACCCACCCATATTCTTAGGATTCATTACTAACAAAAAAAGGACAAATAAAAGTCACCAGATTGGTACTCTCAAGCTTTAGCTGTTAGTTCTGCATTTAAGGAAATGCTTCCCAATTTTTTAGTCTTATCCCTGTCAAACACTTCATAGATGAGAACTGCTTACATATGGTGATTACTTTGCAAATAATTCTACATCCAGTTAACTTTTCAAATTTTTGATTAGAAGAGCAGCAAACCAAATATTGAACAATAAGAACTATCAAATGTCAACCTCAAGGCAACATACCAAAGGTAAGTATGTAGTAAATTGTTAGCCTAGAACCAAAAACCCAGAATCTACCATCTCCCTCCCTTAACAATGCTCTGACTGCCTTCAATAAAGTTCACCCCAAATTATGTCCTTCATAAATAAATTTCTTGTGCTACTACTATCAGTTAAAATCTTTTGATGGGAACAAATTACTCATGACAATTCTTCAGCTAAAATACACTTTCAGGTTTTAAAAGGTCAATATGGGGGGGGGCAAGTTTATATTGTACAGCTTTTGGACAAGATGATTAATTTTGTCACCCAGCAGATAGCCAAAAGTCCTTAAAGGATCTTGTTCTTGATAGTTTTTCCTTTACCGGACTTTTACATTTTGAAGAACTGTCATTAGATCACTAATTTATTTGCTTTTCATGAATTAACTGACTCATTAAATAGTTTTTTGGGTTGTTTTTTTTTTTTTTTTGAGACATAGTCCTGCTCTGTCACCCTGGGTAGAGTACAGTGGCATCATCAAAGTTCACTGCAACCTCCAACTCCTGAGTCCATGCAATCCTTTTGCCTCAGCCTCCTGAGTAGCTGGGACTATAGGTGCATGCCATGATGCCCAGCTCATTTTTCTTTCTTTTTTTTTTTTTTTTTTTTTTTGAGACAGAGTCTCCCTTGTTGACCAGGCTAGAGTGCCGTGGCGTCAGCCTAGCTCACAGCAACTTCAAACTCCTGGGCTCAAGCGATCCTGCTGCCTCAGCCTCCCGAGTAGCTGGGACTACAGGCATGCGCCACCATGCCCAGCTAATTTTTCTATTTTTGGTAGAAGCAGGGTCTCACTCTTGCTCAGGCTGGTTTCGAACTCCTGACCTCGAGCAATCCGCCCGCCTCAACCTCCCAGAGTGCTAGGATTACAGATGTGAGCCACTGCGCCTGGCTTCATTTTTCTATTTTTAGTAGAAGCAGGGTCTCATTCTTGCTCAGGCTGGTCTCGACCTCCTGAGATCAAGCAATCAATCCTCCCACCTCAGCCTCCCAGAGTGCTAGGATTACAGGCCTCGTGAACCACTGCGCCCGGCTCCTGGAATAGTTTTTTTAAAAACAGATAATTTCACTGTTTGGACCCAAAAGGTCCAAAAGGAGACCTAGACGATTTAACTTTATTATACCATAATATCAAATATATACTCTTAAAAAGCACTGAAAAGATGATCAGAAAATTCCAGTGTTCAGTAAGCTATCTTTTTGATCTATATCTTCAATTTTAGGTAGGAAAATAATGACCCACATTGCCAAATTGAAGAGCGCATTTAGAATCACACTATATTACACTCTCCAAAAGGGCCTAGTATGACTCAGGTATGGACTGTGTCCTGGGTTACTGGGTGGCAACAAAGCAACATCTGTCAAAGGCAAAGAAAACAATATGATTGCTTTTTATATTGTATTTTTTCCAGGTCAAAAACAAAAACAATACCCCACAGACAAAACAAAACAAGGCAGATGTTTAAACAAAAGGCATCTGTTTCTCCACTGTTAACACAAAATTTGGAAAAGCAATTTGGGCTAGAGGATCACTTAATTGCTACCGTAAAGCTAGAAAATAAGTTATTCAAGCTAGAAAATAAATTATTCCTAATCTAGCTTGCAAATGTATTATTTGCAAGACTCAAAAACATCCTGCCCAGCTTTACATCAAGTTCACTGTCAACTTCAACTGCTGTCACTCTAATTATCTCACCCCAGAAGTCCAACTGGCACATAGTTAATCAAACACAGAATGTGAACATGTGTGCATGGGTGACCTCATATCCACAGATAAACTACTTCTACCTTGGACTACGGACAGTGGTCATCAGTTCCCTATCTCTAAACTCCAACTATAAAGGAAGGCATTTTGGCTATCTGGTTCCCCTGCTGTATGTGCATATAGCAGGCACTCAACAAATCAGTGAAACTAATAAAACAGTCATTATGAGCTGCATGTGTTTTGAATTATTTAAAAGACCATATGGAAACAATTATTAAACTCACATAAACTTGTGCTTAACCTACCCTCTGAATTTTCATTAAAAGTCCAATATGAATAAATTTGTTTAATCTGGGGCACACACACTTAATTTGCATCATGGCACTTGGATGCTAAGTTATAGCCTTCATAGTGTAGAGAAGATCCTGTAGACACAGCAATGCTCCCCAAGCAGGAAAATATGCCAAGAGAATAAGCCCAACCCAGAGTTATGGGTATTAAGGAGACTAGACTTGCACACTCCTCTTTCCTAACACTATTTCCACAGGGAATAGAAACGAAGAGGTTGATTTGACTTTCCTAGAATGTTACTCTTTATACTTGATTTATGATAAGCATAAAATATCTCAAGAGTCAGGCAAGTAGTTAAGTTCTAGTTACAGAACTGTTAACACTGATTAAAATTTCTTTCTAGTTTGTTCTTGGTAACCAGGTCAGCTGAGGATAGAGGATGGATGGTACATAGGGTAAAAGTCACATTTAGGGAACTTTATATTTAGCCATATGGCTAAATATAAAAATTTATACATAATAGTGATACAGACACAGGCCAAATTGTTAACAACGGTTACCTCTAAAGAGGGATGTAGCATAGAGGGAGAAGGGAGATTTAAAAAGGAATTTGTGTTTATTATTCTATATTAAAGGCACAGATCAAACAGAAAGTTCAAATTTTTGGTAGCATGAAGTCCTATGTTACAGGAGTTACTACTCCAAGTTGTATAAAGACTTGTTTTAGTTAATTTTGTACTCTTTCCCCATCAACTATCCCTTTCCTCCTTACCCTTTTTCCCTTAAACAAAAACGTATTCTGAGTAAAGAAACTGCTAAAGTTAACTCCTAGATTTTTATATTAATCAGTCAACTATGGGGCAAAAGTAATGAACTTCAAATGAACTATAGTTTCTTCATTCACATGCTTAAGGAAGACCCTGATTCTGGCTTGCATTTAAATTGTATGTTACTAATGAGATCCACCTAATTGACCAGATTCCTTTTTGGAAGGTTTTGTGGAAGTCAGAGGCTACTTACAAAAAGGCAAAACACATCCAAAGAGACATGGGGGAAAATAAAATGAAAAGGTCTGTATTTACTGAAGAGCTCCTAGATAGTTTGGTATGAGAAAAAGCAAGCTGCAAAACATATATGCAGTAATAGTAATACACAGTTTATGCAAAACTTTAAAATTCACAAGACTATGTATTTCTATATGTAAATATATAGGTACATTAATGCATAGCAAAAAGGTATTTGAGGAATATATTCTAGAGAGCAATTGTTACCATTTGGGAGGGGGCACCAAGGGCACTTTGACAATATCTGTGTTTTTTATTCTTTTTCCTAGAATGTATCCTTACTTACATAATTAAATATAAAATAAAGAACTTATACATTTCTAGGAAGTACTACATGATAGTTTCCTTAAAATAGCTTGCTACCAAGGATAGTTTAGCAAATACTGTTGTCTATTTTTCAACATTATCATATTTTCTATCCTTGTAACCCCTCACCTTTTTCTCACTTTTCTACACATGCTAAAATTTAAGAAAATCATACTAGCTTTTTCTTAAGTATTTGATAATGAAGAGATGATACAGTTGCCAGGAAGTACTAAAATCAAGGGGAAGAATTGGTATAGTGGGAATAAAGGCCATTGAAGTAAGCAACCCCATTGCTTAACTGTGGCTTTAATATGATACATTTGGAAATACATGGAGACTTCCAAAGAGGACAAGATACTTTAAGAATAAGAGTCTTACTGGGTGTGCTAACATTAACTTGCCATGTTTAAGAGAAAATGTTGCAGTAGAAAAGTTAACACTCAAAAGAATAGTTTTTTAGAAAAGAGATGATACATAAATCCTGGATGGCACAAAAAGTGCTAAAGGTTTATCAAATAAAGTGGTATTTATTTAGAAGAGAAGCATTTCAGCTTGAAATTGGAAACTCATAAGAGTATTTCTAGGTTCTTTTCAATACATATGAGACTACTAAAGTACTTACAATTCGGAAGATTTTGCTCAGCATTGTAATTGTTTTCTTGAAAAAGGAAAGGCCAAAGTCAGACATATGTGTAGCATGAATTTTGGTCCACAATGCCAAATATATTTCTCCGTTATAGTTGATTACAAATAACAGAACAGCAACATACTAAAATCAATGCCTATTATTAAATCAAGTAAATGTAATTCAATGAATCCCAGTTTTTAATTATTAAAATCTAGGTGATGCACTTTGTAACTCAGAAAAGAGTACTTAAGGATCTATTCAGTCTCTTTATCATTAGACATTATCATGAGGCTCCTGCTGGTCACTACTATACACCCTGTTCTAGAAAATCTCAACATCTTAAATGGTCACAAATTACATATTCCCTCTTTGTCACACTGTATCTACAAAGAAAACTGTGAACTCTACCATGGCAAACAGAAGTCAAATGATAAATTCTAAAAGTTAAAGGCACAGATCGAACTACTTTTGGAGATAATACAGTGATAACTATAATGAGCAAACTATACTACTGGAAGATATAAGATCAATGATCTAGATTCCTGGTAGCACTTATAATATAGAAAATTGCAAACTATGTATTAAAAGAAATAAATAGTATCACAATCCACTTTTTAAAAATGTTCTAAATATTTGGCACAATGCATCGTTTGCCTTATTTAGAAACTCTTTGATTAATGTATTTTTCAAAGTGATTTAAAAAATTATCAGGTTGTAGAGTTTTGTATCTACTTGACTTCCATTCTACTCTTTAATTCATCTTTCCCTATTTCCCCAATTTTATCTTTTATTACTAAAAATCTAAAAATGAAGTATCATTCTTTTCCTTACGTTAATGCCAAAAAAAAGTATTCCACTAGTAATATATGGCTACTATTAAAAAAAAAGATTTCAATGCTGTAACAGCCATAGCTTTAGGGTAGTCTCAGGAGATACCCTGGACAAAACAAATTCAAATACTCATATTTCATACAATAGCATGATGCTTTTTTCTTTTCAGATTACCGTTTACCTCAAAATCATTGCAGTATACATTTAAAAAAAACAATAATCTTCCCTTGTAATCACACAGCAAAACAAGAAGCAGAATACCCATCATCATCAGAAACAATGATTGCATACTTTTAACATAACAATATTCAGGTATTTTTAAATGACTATCTTAAACCAATTTTTAATTATATATGTTAAGTTATAATATGTTAATATTTTACTAGTTGAAAAAAATATTGGATCTATCTACCTACTACTTTTAATACACAACACTATAACTTGTATCTTCCTCCTACTAGCACAATTATCAGAACAGGAACATAAAAGATATATTAGAGAGATGAAAAAAGTATCAGAAAAATTTCCTCAGTCTTGGTTTATCATCTCTTTATCTTTCCTTTGCATACTATACATACTGCAGTTGATTGGTCTTTTTTCATTACCCTTTCACCCTCTTCCTACCTAAAGACCTTTTGGGCTTTAAAACAACAGGCATACCATATTATCTATTGTTGCTATTGAAGTAGCCTGAATAACAAGTTTAAAAAGAAAACGGAGAATGAAATGCTTGCAGTTAAGAATGATACACATAAACCAAAAGAGAATAAAGAAAAAAAATTACGGAGAATAGTTATACTCGACCAGTAATTACCTGGCAACTCTGGAGCAGAGGTTCCTATCTGAATTATATACCATTAAGATAGGGTCAAAAGCTCTCTAATTATCAGGCTTTATAACTTATTTTTTGGAATAAAGCTCAATTCCATCTCTAATTAGCTTAAAAAACATTATTTCACTTCAATGAGAAGAGCTTATTTCCCCTCCATCTATAACAGCAGGAATGGCAAATCTTTCTTCATTCCATCTGAAAGATAGCCAGGAGGGTATAAACAAATTTTCCTGGGATACTCATGATTCCTGCTTCCTCCCATACTCACACAAAAATACTAACTTCACAGGAAATCAAGAGAGTACACAGAGCACAATCATCCCATAAAAGACAACAATTTTAGCTTATCACCCTGACTCTTCCCACCCCATCCTCCTCAAACACACATTAACAGAGAGGTCAGTGTGGTGAGTTTGGCAAAGACGGAAATTAAAGAAGGTCAAGCAAGGGGTCACAGAACACTTAATACTAAGTTAAAATTCTATGTCAATTCATTCAACTTTTAACCCACTTGGGAAGGTTTAAGCTATTAACTTAAAAATATGGTAGTATTTCTTCAGTAACTATAACCTCTTCATATCTTCTTAATTGCTCATATTAATTGCTTTATTGCATTCTACTGCTTCTTCTAAGAAGTAAATCCAGGGACCATTGCATTTTAATCTTAGACATAACATTTACTAGTTTTCCAAGCATGACAGAAATGGAAAAATATATATATTTGAACAAGAACAATTTAAGTTAATGTCCACAATCTGTGTTCCTTCTGTGAGCAGAGCCTGATTCTATTAAAATTAAAAAACTGGAGCTCAGTCCTATGCTTAAGAAAAATCTAATGAGGGACTAATTAATAAAGTATACAAGAATATTATTCTATAATAAATCTTTCCAGTGTTCACTATAACTGCATTATACATAAATGTTTCCCTCCACAGTAACTCAGAAGGATAGTTCTTATAAATGAAAGAGAACATTCCATATTCATCTCTGGCAAGCAATGAACAAACACAACTTGCTCACAAAGGATCTGAAAGTGCTGCCCCAGGAGCATAAACTACCACTAAGATGCTATATGAATGAGTCTTGGTGAGTGGCTATTATCTGGGATCTCTTTCTCTCTTCTCACACCAGTGAACCTATCTCATATAAAGCCTAAGAGAAAACTAAAGCTGTTGCAGAAGTGAAACACAGCATGCTCCACTCAAATTCTTCTAAGGTAACCATTTTAAAGGAAAACCAACAGAAGTCATCTCTTTTATAAAAACAAATACATTAAAAAAAAAAACCCAAACCAAAAGGCAAATGCTGCTGCTCAATCATTAGAAGGACTTACAGAGGCAAAATATGTGACAACAGCATAATTCAAGTAAAGTATGTGTGAAAATTTAAACACGCCACATTCAAGTTAAGACAGAAGTGAAGGGGAGCTATGATCTTTATATCAGAGTCAAAAAGCTTAGGCATTATCACCAAATGTTAATTCACCTTACAGTCATCAATGAAACTACTGTATATATTTTTGCACTTTGCGCTTGTAAAAGCAGATAAAATATTTAATATGTAATTTACAATCTATTTTACCAGCTCAGCATACAAGATGTATACAGATTATATCAAAGTAGTAGACAGTTAGGGGCCTGTGCAAACCCTGCAAAAATAGTACTTCAGGTATCTGCTAATTAAAAACAAAAACAAAAACAGTTTGCTGTTTAGAAGTGATACAATTCAAACAAAATACAAAGGGCTGCAAAAATGTATACCATTCCCACAACATATATAAGTTATTAAATAAAGATTTGATTTAAAAGAATATAAATGAAGCCTTTAAGTAGGTCTTTTCTACATGCATATTATTCCTCATTAAAGAAAAAAAATATGTAAAAAGGCCATTGGTAATTGCTTTGTTAACATTTGTAGAAAATGCCAATTCTCTGGTCACAAACTCCACTAAGTTTAGCACTTAAGGTCTCTGCAGTGTTATAAACGTAATTTAAAATACTGTTAATTCTATAACTCCGTTGGTAAAATAATGTGACTTGGAATATGGCAGTCTTCATGTTGAGGGCAATGATCCACAGTTTTGTTTTAATTTCTTAGGTGTGAACAGTTATCCAGAAGAACAGCACCCTCCACCTCCACTCTGCATCTGAGGTTCATCATCGATAATTTGTACACCTCGTCTTGCAGTTCCTGGTTGACTAGAGCCATTGCCTTTTGCTCTCTCGTCCACTTGTGCTGTTTCTATCATCCCTAAAACAGGGAGAAAGTAAAAATTATTAGGATCACAAGTGTTGAGTTTTTTCTTTCTATAATTTCTGTATAACACAATGATAGCTATTTATGACTTTTAACCAACAAGGTAACTAAATACAATGAAGATTGTGTCAGCCCACTAAAATAGCTTTACCTGCAAGTTTTAAAAACCTAGGATCAAGTTGCAAGCATATTTATCCAGTGGTATAATGGCCACAATGATATCAATAAAGAAAATTTTGTTTTGTTTTGAACAAATGACTGTGTGTAAGATTTATCCTTAAGATTTTCCCAACATACTTACATATATGTCCAAAAAAATCAAATTGTTCCAAGTATAAGTGATATTTAGGTAGGGTATAGGATTTATTCTTCAACTAGAAATGTAATACATTTAAGCAAATAACATTTGAAAGAATAAAAGAGTTTAAGATGAGGGAACTTTGAAGAACAAAGCTAGAAGACTCACACTATCTAATTTAAAGATATAGTATAAAGTTACACTAATAAAGATAATGAGATACAGCCAGGCGTGGTGGCTCACGCCTGTAATCCTAGCACTCTGGGAGGCTGAGGCGGGCGGATTGCTCGAGGTCGGGAGTTCGAAACCAGCCGGAGCCAGAGCGAGACCCATCTCTACTATAAATAGAAAGAAATTAATTGGCCAACTATTATATATAAAAAATTAGCCAGGCATGGCGGCGCATGCCTATAGTCCCAGCTACTTGGGAGGCTGAGGCAGGAGGATGGCTTGAGCCCAGGAGTTTGAGGTTGCTGTGAGCTAGGCTGACACCACGGTACTCACTCTAGCCTGGGCAACAAAGCGAGACTCTGTCTCAAAAAAAGGATAGTGAGATACTGATAAAAAGAGAAACAGAAATCCAGAGTCCAGAAATAGATCCCATATATATGGTCTCTTGATTTTTGACATATGTGTCAAGGGTTACTCAATGAAGAAAGGATAATATTTTCAAGAAAAGTCCTAGAACTGGATATCTAAATGTAAAAAATAACCACACTGGCCGGGCGCGGTGGCTCACGCCTGTAATCCTAGCTCTAGGGAGGCCGAGGCGGGCGGATTGCTCAAGGTCAGGAGTTCAAAACCAGCCTGAGCAAGAGCGAGACCCCGTCTCTACCATAAATAGAAAGAAATTAATTGGCCAACTGATATATATATAAAAAAAAATTAAGCCGGCGTGTGCGCATTGCCTGTAGTCCCAGCTACTCGGGAGGCTGAGGCAGAAGGATGGCTCGAGCCCAGGAGATTGACGTTGCTGTGAGCTAGGCTGACGCCACGGCACTCACTCTAGCCTGGACAACAAAGCGAGACTCTGTCTAAAAAAAAAAAAAAAAAAAAATAACCGCACTATATACAAAATCAACAAAAATGAATAATATACTTAAGTGTAAACTATAAAATAAAATTTCTAGAAGAAAACAGGAAAAAAATCTTTGTAGTAGAAAATTTTTGTGACTTTGGCTTAGACAAAGATTTCACATATAAGATTAAAAAAACATGAATCATAAAAGAAAAACTGGCTGGGCGAGGTGGCTCACGCCTGTAATCCTAGCACTCTGGGAGGCCGAGGCAAGCGGATTGCTCAAGCTCAGGAGTTTGAGGTTGCTGTGAGCTAGGCTGATGCCAAGGCATTCACTCTAGCCTGGGCAACAAAGCGAGACTCTGTCTCAAAAAAAAAAAAAAAAGAAAAGAAAAGAAAAACTGACAAATTGGACCTAAAACTTCTATTCTTTGAGAGACATGGTTAAGAAAAATGAAAATACAGGACACACTGGGAGAAAGTTATTTGCAAAATACATATTTGACAAGATAATGGAAGAAAAGAGGGAGATCTTAAAACACAACAAGGGAGCCAGGTGTGGTGGCTCACGCCTGTAATCCTAGCACTGTGGGAGGCTGAGGCGGGTGGATCGTTTGAGCTCAGGAGTTCCACACCAGCCTGAGCAAGAGCAAGACCCTGTTTCTACCAAAAAGTTAATTGGACAGCTAAAAATATATATATTTTGTTGTTGTTGTTGTTGTTGTCCAGCTAATTTGGGGTCTCACTCTTGCTCAGCCTGGTCTTGAACTCCTGACCTCAAGCGATCCTCCCAGAATGCTAGGCTTACAGGTGTGAGCCACTGCACCTGGCCCACCATTATTTTTAATCAAATCCCAGACCCGTAATTTTATCTACAAGTTATTTTAATATGTGTCTCTAAAAAAATTCCTTTTTTAAAGCCTAACCACAATACCATATTCATAATTATTGTTAAAAAATTAACAATATCTTAGTATCATCAAATATCCAGCATATATTCAAATATCCATTGTTTCACAAATGCTCTTTTTCACTTGTTTGTCAAATCAGTACCCAAATAAGGTCCATCCACTGCAACAGGCTGTTATAAGTGTTAAATCCATAAATTCCCCTTTCATTTTTACTTTTAATAGTTATACATATATTTTAATATGCATTAAGCCTGAACCACAAATATGATTTCATAATCATTATTTACTGCCTGAAACAGGACTAAAGTAGGTATTTAAGCTTTAAAAAATGAGTTAAAGAGAAAATATTAAGTAAATAACAGTATTGGTAGATGTGACAAATTATCAATGTGGTTATTAAAAGAGATTGGTTAAACATCATATTAGAAATATTATCAAGAGTTTAAAAGGAGCCATCTCTAAACATACTAAAGCTGAATATACCTACTTTTACAAAGGTCAAGAAAGAGTTCCTCAATTCCTTTGTTCTGTTTGGCTGAAGTATGATAATGTTTTGCTCCCACAGATTCTGCATACCTTAAAAAAAAGAGTAACATCAGTGATTGATGTAAAACATTTTTCATAATTTTGTCATAACTGCTATTTGAGATTTTGTTACAGTAGCAATTTTAGTGACTTTTTAACTCAAATTTAGTGAAATTAAGTTTATATAGCTGTATAACCTCTCTATACATTGAGCCAAATTTTAAATGAATTATAAGAATTGAAATTTTTATAGATTAATTTAGAACCCAAATACTTTAAATATTTTTGTGAGCCATTGCCTATTTGATCATGATACTTTTCTTTTACATCAATCTTGTTTTTTTTACTGAAATAAAAAAGGGAAATGAGAGTGGAATATCTTTAAATATCACCAAAAGTCTAGAAATTACCAAGTAAACATGCGTCACTGAATCCAACAGTTTAATCTACATAAAGAGGTTTGAGTAATATCTAAATGGTAAAGCACACAGTACAAAGAGAGAGACTTCTATTTGGGAGTGATGGGGGTAGGGGGAAATGACACTTACGATTCTGCTTCTTGAATGGAAACATGTCTCTCCTTTTCCAAGTCTATTTTATTACCTAATTTGAAAAAAGTAAATACTAATGTTTAATATTGATTCATTTTTATAATAAAATTAAGCCAATTCTAAATATATAACTGCCATTTCAATTACCTGTAAAAAATAATACAAATCCCCATCAGACTTGTGAATATCTTGAAACCATAAAGTTAACCCCTATTATGTGACTGTTGATCATGCCTCATCTTCCCTCACATGGCTCAATACATATCCTTCCTGAAGCTGCAGTTTCGGTCCAAGAAAACTTTTCCAAAGAGATGGGCACTCTTGGATTTAGGGTATGCCAGGAACTAAGATTCCCTACAGAATCTAGGGATAAACCTATGATTCTTAGCCAAGTATAAATGGTCAAAAGTTAGAGCAAAATTCTCTATAGTCCCCAATCAACTTAAAGCCAGTCAATAATCAAGTATGGCTATCTTAGTGTTTACTAAAATATATTAGGCTAGCCTCTTGGACCCTAAGAGAATTTTGGTTTCCCAGATGATATAAACTGGTTAAAGTAAGAATTAAAATGTATGGGTTTTTAAGTACTCCACCACCACAGGGGACAAAACTGTACTATTTGTTTAAAAAACAATTTTAGTGACTTATTATTAGAACTTAATATATACATATCATACAGATTTAAAATTATTAAAAATAAGGTTAGCTCTCCTTAAACAACGGAACCAAGCTGAGATCACGCTAAAGAGTCATCAAAACAAAAATGAGGAAACTGCAAAATGCAGATATTTTCCTTGAATACAGGACAGAAGTCAAGATGAGTTGGCTGGACACAGAGTGCTACAGGTAATGGAAACAACAGATAGGAACAGGAAAAAATACCCTACGGAAATACATTTCCAACAAATACTTTCATTTATTCTGTTACGACTTTTGGGGCGGGGGGAGGGGGAAAGAAACCTTATAAATAAGGTCATGTTTTTCCTGGGATCTTATATAGTCTAGAAGACAATTTCAGATAAAGCACTGAAGTAAGTACCCAATGAAAGATACAATGTTCAGCACTGAGAAGTACAAGTCTACAGGTTCTGCATATGGAGGATCTCAAGTAATCTGACCACCTAATTGCTGGCAGCTGCAAAAAACTATTTGCCACTATAATCTAAGGATGAGAGGGAGGGAGGTAGACGACAGTAAAGCTCAGTGGGTACCAACAAATTCAGTAACAAACTCTTCCTTCTTTGAACAATTCTCTGTCCCCCTCAGCAAGAAGTTTCATATTAGTTCTAATTTCCTACATTATATTTGTCACTAAAATTTTTAATTTGCTAAATATTATAAACAATATACCTGACAGTAACCAGAGGAACAAGCTATTTTATTTTGCAAAGAATGCAAAAAGCACCACCTGGTGGCCAGAGGCTCCAACAGACAAGCACAAAATTCTGCCTCTAAAAAGGAAAAACTGGGTATCTGTCTCCTACAGATAGCAATTAATTGGTTCCAATTAACTAAAATCCTATGAAATTTTTCTTCTAAATTTTTAATGCCTGTTTTCCAAATTACACCATAATCATCAATAAACATCTTTTTACATCACCTGTAAAAAGAGTGAGGATAGGAAAAGTAGGTAACTACCTTACTGTAGTCTCAAATGAACATTTAGGAAAAATTATTCAGACATTGCTTTATTACTTAAAGTATTTTAAACCTGACTAATTTTAATAAATCAAGTCATTAAAATAGCTATTTAAAAACATAATTAGTATTTTAAATTTTAAAAATTGTAAATCCCTCTACCAAATAACTACTACTTTGAAGAATCAAGTGTTCACAATGGCTTGACAATACAAAAATGTTGCAGAAAACTGACCTGTTAGTGACTGTTATCTTTCCAAGCTCAAGAACCTTTTAGGACCTATATTTTTTTCAAAAGCAACACAGCTAAGGGAGGCTCATATCTGCTTCAATACTATTGTGCAGCTACACAGGGAACTTTCTGATAGGCTTAAAACATCTGAAACAAGGACAAGCACCAAAGTAAGCACCTGCTTGAGAGTATAGTACTATAAAGGATTAAAAAAAAAACAACAACACACAAATAGGTTGAGGATATCAGAGAGGGAAGGGGAAAGCTTACCCTTTAAGAACAGTAAAAACTTTATCATCTTTAATAGACATTTGAATTAAGAACACAGAAGGGAATTTGCCCACTGCTAAGGATAGATGACCTAACATGATACAGAGCTAGAATCATATTTTGCTTAAACTGGATGGTTGTGAGGCATAGTGGAAAGAAGCTCTCAAAAAGCTTTTAAATCTAATAAATTTTGTTTTTAAGACCTGGCTCATTTCATAAGATTTTGGGCAAATTACTGAACTCTTACTCTCACCTCATGCAAATGTAGCTAACAAACCTTGCAGGGTTGCTGTGAAAATAAGATATATGTAAAAGGCCTAGTATATAATTCATGCTCAATAAAGAGCAGTTATTAACATCAGCCATATTCATTATAGTGAAGGATCAAATAGAAAACAAAGATTGTTATAAAAGAATTAAAGTCCATGATAGGTAATACACTTTCTACCACCACCCACTGGCTTCACCTAGTTAACTTAGTTTATCCAACATTCATTCTAAGAAATCTCCCCCAACTCCCCCAACCTATTAATAGTTAGGTTGGTTTTTGAGCTCTCACAGCACTCCACTCCACACTTCCCCTTTCATTACATTTATCGTAATATAAGTAGTAGCTTGTTTTTCTCTTTGTCTCTACACAAGCAGCTCTGGAAGCACAAGGACCATATCTATTTTATTTATTCATTATACCAGTCCCAAAGCCTGGTACTTAGTAATATATAGTGCTTATTAAGGATATGGGCTTGACATGGCAGGCAGACATGAGTTAAAATCCCAGGTCTACCTCTAACTAGCTATGTGACTTTGAGAAGTATCAAGCTCTCTAAGCCCATTTCCTCATCTGTAAAATGGAAATGGTCTTCCTCTCAGCATTGCTAGGAGGCTTAAATGAAATAACAAATGTGTAGTTCCTAGAACAGTGCCTGGCACTCAATAAATGGTAACTATGATTAATAATAAATATTTGTTTAATAAACATATAATTGTTGAGGACAGGCTAGATGGAGAACACTAGCAAGTAAAGCAGCCATAGGCAAGACTGTGTTACTGGGTAACACATGGTTATCAGTGGCTTACATAAGGACCCAGAAGGTTAAGTATTCAATTTACATATGAAAAAGCTAGTAGACTGTAAGATTTGAGAACATATGACAAGTTGAAATTTCTACACCTAGGTTTAAATAACTTAATTATAATACACAAAAACAGGCTGGGAAAAACCTGACCGAGCAGCAATACTTATAAAAAAGACTTCCAATTTTTGTTAACTATAATCTATGTAAAAGAGACTATGAGTTGACATGTCTACTAAAAAGTTTATGCAATCTTGATCAAAGGACAGTGCAAGGATTAAAAAGAGGGAGGGGGAAACTCTAAGCATATATACTCAACAACATTTGGACTCTGGTGTTTATTTCCAAGTGTAGGAGACACAGTAATACACTGGAATAAATCTAGGAGAAAATGATCAGAATGATGAAAACATCTGGAAGGCAGGCTGCATGAAAATTGGTTTAACAACCAGAGAATGTAAGACTTCAGGAGAACTGTTCAAATAGGCTTCAAATGCTTGAAGGGTTACCTTATGTAAAGAGAATGGGATAAATAAATACTTATCAAATGCCTTTCTCTATGCCAAGTGTTTTTCAAATCATTATATAATCTTCATCACAATCCTGTGAGGTAATAGTATTATTTCAAAGTTATTAATAAAACAGAAGACAGAATAAACACTGAACTGCTACAGAGTATAAAATAAAAATCAAGTGGAAAAAAATAATGCAAATGTCCATCAATAGCAAAATGGATAAACTGTGGAATATTCATAAAGTATTAGACAGCAAAAGAGAATAAAATGTGAACTACAACTATATACAACAACATAAAGGAATCTTGTAAACACAATGTAAAGCCAAAAAAGCCAGACACAAAAGAGTTTATACCATATGATTCCATCTATGTAAAATTCAAAACAAAACTAATTCGTGCAGTTAAAAGTCAGGATAGTGATTGGGGGTAGGGAATGGTGAGGGGAAGGCAACCATGATAGTGTTGGGATGAGAAAGAATGGCAAGTGGCCTTCTAGGGTACTCCTTACATTACACTCTGTGAAATTTTCATTTTGTGAAAATAATGTTGTTATTAAAGATTTATTTATATAGTTTCCTGTACATATTTCAATAAAAAGTTCACTTTCAAAAATCAGTAATAGTTACAGGGAATATTATTTTAGATAAATGTGAAGTGAAAACTGTCAAAATGAGTTAAAAAAAAAAAGTAGTGTCCTGATAACAAGAGTCACAACAACTCTTCATACAATAGTAACATGATGATCTGAATGAGAATCTTGAATTGTGCCAGAATAAAGTTGTTCCCAAACACCATCATGAATATAGACTAAATCAGAATTAAAAGCACAGTACCTAGCACAAAGGAGCCACTCAAAAATATTTGTGTGAAGGTGTATTGTTGCCAAAAAAAAAAAAAAAAATTTGTGGAAGGAATGAAGGTAGGGTGAAAAGAGAGAATTAATTCCTAGCCCCAACCATAAAGATTCTGATTTAATCTATTTGGAATGAGGCCTGAGAAAATATTTTAAAATATTTTAAAGTTTTCCAGGTTATCTTAATAATAGCCAAGTTTAGGAACAATGGTAAATGGACTGTCAAAATTATGAAATATTCCTGCTATCTAGCCTACCATCTAGCACCTAGACCAAACAGCAGGGGAAATCATCTCCTTGGCCTCTTTTCTCAGACTTACACCATAATCTGGGGCTATAAAGTTATCAGTCTAATGGTGACAAGATATAAGAAATGTTAACCCAAGTTAAAAAAAAAAAAAATCTTAAGGCTAAAAGCAGGATTTCCCCATGGTAACCATTCTGTTCTTTCATTTCTGCAAATACTATCTTTGTCCTCCACTAAAACTATCTTGGCTTCTCCCAGGTCGTTCTTACTATTATCAGCCATGTAGAAAGGAAGAGGGAAAACAACATGAGGTTACACATCATGAAGATTAATATCATAAGCATAGGAGTCAGTATGACTTCAATTCAAATCTAGTCTCTCATAGCTGCCTGATATTGGGCAAGTTATTAAGTATCTCCAGGACTCAGCTTCCTCTATAAAGCCCTCAGAAGGTTATGAGGATTACATGAGATAATGTCTATGGAGTGTACAAGGACAGTGTTTATTATACTTTTATTGCTCAATAATTATAGAAATAATAATCTATTTTTCCTTTTTTCCCCCCAAACTGAGATATGTTCATGAAGAAATTATAATCTACAGAAAAAGGGAACCAAACAGAAATTCCAGAAGTCCGAGAGTGAGTTCTAGAGTTCCTTTATCTCACTAAGAATATTCCTCTACCCTAGGATCATGATCTACTTGTATCATTGCAGAAAAATCTGTCCTTTACATTAATGTGTATAGTTAAATGTATAGAACAACAACACTGGCTTTAATTTTATTTTAAAATAGTTTCTAAACTCTTTTTTTTCTAAACAAAATTTTACAGTGAAAAAATAAATGTCGGATTGAAGCAAGGCTGGCGAACTTGAGGCCTCAAGCAGTTAGTTCCCCACTTGCTCCCCAAAGCATGCCTTCAAGTATAGAGTTTGAATCTCCTGGAAAATTGCTGCCAAATCCTAAATTAATCTAAAATATTTAAATATTTCTTCTTCCTTTCTCATATAAATTTACAACAAAAATTACTTGTTTATTACATCTTTGCTAAAACATTAAGGAAACAAAGGACCTTTTCAAAAAGAGTAATGATGCTTACCAACTATACATAAACAGATTTCATTTCCCAACATTTTCCGTAATTCTTTGACCCAGTTTTTTACCTGTGTGTACAAAAGAGCAAATATTAAAATAAATCCTGTTAGAATTACTACTATAACACTCAAAAAAGCAACATTGTCAAAAATAACTCAGAATTTTGTCTAACAGCCCATATATTTAGTTATCACTAGAAATTAATCACTGAAAGATCATTTATTGCTATGGTGCCCAACCCCTAGACCACAGACTATCTGTGGCCTGTCAGGGACCAGGCTGCGGAGCTCTGCCCACCCCTGACCCCGTGGAAAAATTGTCTTCCATGAAACTTGGGGGCTGGGGAGAGGCAGGTGCACAGCAGGAGGCAAGTAAGCAAAGTGTCATCTGTATTTACAGCTGCTCCCTATTGCTCACATCACTGCCTGAGCTCTGCCTCCACCCCCCCCCCTGGTCCATGGAAAAATTGTCTTCCATGAAATTAGTCCCTGATGCCAAAAAGGTTGGGGACTGCTAATACTGCCATATATTGCAAACCACATACATATAAACACATGAAAGAATCTCTCTATATATCTACATATGGGTATACACAGAAGCACCTCTAATACAAATTTTCATCAATCTTCCACAGATCCAAGCAAAGCTATGCACCAGAGCAAAAACATGTCAACCCCAGCCTCTGATAATAGATGCTTATATAGTATCACTCTGCAGTCAAGAACAAATGGACTAAAAATAGTCTTTTTGTACCCGATTTGTATCCTATTTGGTTCCTACACAGAGGATACAGGGGTTTCTGTGCCATACGCTTAACAACAACAACAAAAAAGATGCATGGGCACCAAAAACAAGAGTGGCAAAACAAATTTTCATTATTTAGTATATGACTGAGTTTTTCAATCTTGGCAGTACTGACATCATGGCTCAAATAATTCTCCGTGTGGAAGACTATCCTGTGCAATGTATGATGTTTAGCAGTATCCCTGGCCTCCGACCCATTAGATACCAGTAGCCCCCTCCAGTTGTGACAAAATCTGGGACAAGATCTCCCCAGACACTGCTATCCCCTCATGGAGAATCACTGGTGTACAATGGTTTCTGTTACAAACGGATTCTCCACTATGAATGAAGCATATCAGTAGGCACAGTTGAAGTAAACTAAAATTAAGTAAATTAATCTTTTAAACTCATGATTTTAAATATGTTGATTATAATAATATAACATAAAAAACTGGGACACCTGCTTTCATTTTTTTGCAATGGAAGTCAATCTGTATGTAAGCAAATTACCTAGAACTTAAATACCTTCCAAAAAAAATACACACACATCTATAAATTACAAGAACTACATTAGATATGTGGTATGCACTTACTGTGTCCTATGATACAAATGTGACAGCTCCACATTCCTATCCTCTGCAAGAATGCAGAGGAACTGTCTTTAGTAAATCTCAAATCCTTATAAAAGCAAAGGTAATTATTATCACCACCTTATCTTTGTAACAGCACTGAACTACATTTTTCTTGGTACAGCCCCATCTTTTTGTTTCATTAACATACATGTATAAAGTTTTCAAAGCATTTAACTTCCACCCTTGATTTCACATAAGAAAAATTTGACAGTACTGACATAGTATGTACATCCTCATCGCCTCAAAAGAAACACACCGGAATTCAGTCATGTATTATTCCTGTACATGTAATAATATAACAACCTACTAATCTAACCAATATTTTTAAAAATGTTATTCATCTCCAATTAGGTATCTCTCCATAGGTATCTTATTCCTTACTCTCATAGATTTTGTGGTAAATTAAAGATGGTGACATATTCTTTGTCAATCCTCCCATCAAGTGGTAGAGCTGAATTCCCCAACCTTTGAATTGAGCTGGCCTTGTAACTTGCTTTGACCAAGAAAATGTGGCAGAAGTAATGCTGTGCATGTCCCAGACTTCAGCTGTAAAAAGGTCTGGTAGCTTCTGCTTTTAACTCTTGGGATTCAGGCTGGCATACAGAATAATGAGAGAACAAATGGAGAGAGTAATGGAGAATAAGACACCAGTAGTGAGGGGCCATATGGAGGAGAACCAGGCCTTCTTAGACATTCTAGCCCCAGTCAAACTCCCATTTCACTGCAACTGCACGAATAACTCCACTGACACCACATAGAGCAGAGGACCTGCCAGGCCAACCCACAGAATCATAAGAAATAATAAATTGTTGTTTTAATCCACCAAGTTTTGTGTGTTTCATTATGTAGCAATAGATAACTGGCCACTTTCCAATCTAAAAGACCTAATTCTCTTAATCAATAAAATACTTAAACTATTTCTTTTTATGCAAAAAGCCAAGAGGAGATAGCAAATAACACCAAACAGCAGCCTCAAAATAACTTTTAATTATTATTGTATCTGCAATCTACCTAATGCTTCATTTTTTTACTCCTTGGACATCATTAATAGTCCAAGGGCTAACTTGTATATCTGCTCCATCAGATTTACATGGGGGTTGGGCGGGGGGGGGGGGTAGGGAATTAAGAGAAAAACAAAAACTAAACTAAAATGGCAAGTAATTTATACAAGAAGACACCCCGTAACTAAAGGCAAGAAAAGCTTTGGTTACACATTACTAACAAATTTATTCCAAGAAAGGTTTTAGGAGGAAAGGTCAAATAAGTAACCCATCCTAATTACAAAGAGAATTCAAAGTTAAGTTAAATGGTAACTCATTTTTGGTCCCAAGCAATTTAAAAAACCCTGTATTTGTGATGTATGTTTGAAGATGAGTAAACAATGAAGGAACTCTATCTAAAATATGACATAACCTAGATTGTCCTTTTAAAATTTATATTATATCTTCCAGGATAAAGAGCTTAAAATTGATTTTTTTGAGACAGAGTCTTGCTCTGTCACCTTGGCTAGAGTACTGTGGCATCAGCTTAGCTCACAGCAACCTCAAACTCTTGGGCTCAAGCAATCCTCCTGGCCTCAGCCTCCCGAGTAGCTGTGACTAAAGGTGCACACCACCATGCCCGGCTAATTTTTTTTTTTTTTCCTATTTTTAGGTGCCCAGATAAATTTTTGTATGTTTATTAGAAACAAGGTCTCACTCTTGCTCAGGCTAGGATCGAACTCCTGAGCTCAAGCAATCCTCCCGCCTCGTTAACTTGATCTTGCTCTCCCATTTTTCTGTTCATAAAAAGGGAGCCTGTGCAACCACACCAAGGTTTCAGGTATCCAATATATGGAATCAAAGAAATGTGGGTGGTTTTTCTTTAAGAGGGAGAAACAAAGCCCTATATTTTTCTGAAGCTTAACTCTAATTAATTCCCTTTCTTAATATTTGAGAAAGCCATGCAATAACCCAATTACTCTAACATGAATATGAGTTAAATACTATATTAAAAAATGAAAAAAAAAAAAATGAGTGACCCATATATGTACAAACCGCATACTTTACTTTTAAAAACAAAACAAATCACATTAGTGAACAAAGGTATATTAATGAAAACTTGGAAAATCAGTGTTTTTCTGATTAAATCATCTACCCATAAAGTAAACGGAATACCTTCTGAAAAGAATCTTCATCTGTTATGTCATAAACTAAAATAGCTCCATTTGAATCTCTGTAGTAAATTGGGCCCAACGCATGGAATCTCTCTTGACCTGCTGTATCCTAAATAAAGTAACAAATGCTTATTAGATTAGAAGAAAAATATGCATCTGCTACTGCAATTACAATGAATTTTTGATTAATTGGAAAGTAGGGCATAAGGTCACAGATAACCCCAAAACACTGTTAAAAGAAACAAAACAAGTTACCTAAAAAAAAAATTCAAATCAAGTTATAACCAATAGGTAATGTTTTGCTGATATACAAAAGCTATTTTCTCCCTCCCAACCCTCCTCTTCTCATCAACCTCCTCACTCCCACTAAAAAACCAGTAAGTTAGCAGAGGGTCAGAATGGCCAACACCACATTATAAGCCAGGAACAGATCCTGCCCTAAATTTTAGGTTCCCCACACAAGGAGAAGAGACAGGGAAACAGAGCACACACTAGAACCATCTGCAAATCACCCTATCCTCTCTCTGAAGTGGAATCCCTTTGAATTGACCCTTCTCTAGTTGAAAAGTTATAACAACAATATTCAAATATACAATTGTATTCCAAATTTACCAAATTTTAGGAAATTATTTTTATTTATTTATTTTTGAGACAGAGTCTCACTCTGCTGCCCAGGCTAGAGTGCCATGGCGTCAGCCTAGCTCACAGCAACCTCAAACTCCTGGGCTCAAGCCATCCTCCTGCCTCATCCTCCTGAGTAGCTGTGACTACAGGCATGCGCCACCATGCCCAACTAATTTTTTAATATATATTTTTAGTTGGCTAATTAATTTCTCTATTTTTAGTAGAGATAGGGTCTCACTCTTGGTCAGGCTGGTTTTGAACTCCTGACCTTGAGCAATCCTCCCGGCTTGGCCTGAGTGCTAGGATTATAGGTGTGAGCCACCAGGCCCGGCCAGAAATTCTTTTTATTAAAAAAAAATTTTGAATAGCCTTCAGTTAACTTAAAAAAATTAGAAATTCAATTCCTATTCCTTGAGTCAATTTGTTATTACAACATCAAGAACAGGTAAAGGCCTCTACTTATTTAGTTGAAAAGATTAACTTACCCATATGGCAAGGTTTACTCTTTTCCCGCCAATATTTAACTTCTTTGTTAAGAATGATGCCTAAGAAGAGAAATATACATTAAACAATGTTTCATATAAAATGTTCCTTATCCTAACAAATATAGATCAGTGAAACATCTAAAGGTAAAACTTATCTGAAAAAGTAATTATTTAGTTTTAAATTAATGATCAAACATTTTCATTAAAGACAGAACATTATTTACATTTTCATCTTAAAAAACCTTGTTTTATGAACACAAGTTATAAAAAATAAACAGGAACTACTAAGTACTTTTTCTTAGTTTTTCCCCTACACATGTGGGAAAAAATAGAGTTTAACAGATTTCTAAGATAAAGGAAGTGTTTACTTACTGTAATGAATATCAGTATTATTCAAAATGGTTCTGCAATTATTTTTTTTTCTTAGAGATGGGACCTTACACTGTTACTCAGGCTGGAGTACAGTGGAGAGATCACAGCTCACTGAAACCTTGAATTCCTGGGCTTAATCAATCCTTCTGCCCCAGCCTCCCAAGCAACTAGGACCACCATGCCCAGCTAATTATGTAAAAAAATTGTTTTAGAGGTCTTGCTATGTTGCTCAGGCTGGTCTTGAACTCCTAGCCTCAAGTGATCCTGCCGCCTTGGCCACTCAAGTTGCTGAGCTTACAGGCGTGAGCCATTGCACCCGGCTTGAAATTATTTTATAACTCAATTGTTTAAAATATATTTAATAACTGTGATAAGTACTAATGTCACAGATATGAAAGGATGTGGTTCCAGCTTTCAAGGAGCTTATACTCTATATTAGAGAAATAAAATGTAAAGAGAATTACAATTCCATATGATAATTGCTAAAATGGAGAGTCTTGTCACACTGTAAAAAGAGTGCTGAGAAAGGCAATGTAATGATTGTCTGGATGAGTCAAAGGTGGCTTCAGAGAAAAGGTAATGATTTCCCCTTTAGGAATAGTAGGGTTTTTTTCTGACAGATGGGTGAAGCCACTGAAGCATAAAATATATGACCCCACCCAATGGGGAACTCCAAGTTGGTATGGTCAATGCCAGAGATGAGACTACATAGACAGGCGAAGGGTGAATCAAAAAGGTCCTAGAATTCCATGTCTAAAAGTATACACTTTACCTTGTGGGTCTTAATAAAACCTATTCAGAGACATGTATATAATACACAAGACATGTATTGAAAAACATATATACATACTACGATCAAGTATATTTGGGAAATGCTATATATTGCTCTTTGTACATTCACAATGCACATTAGCACATCAAAATTCTGCCCAAAGGAAGGCTGGCTAACAGCTTGTATACAAGCATTTCTCAAACTCATTTGACCTCTTTTTCCCTAGAGAAATACCTAATTCATCCTAAGGAATGGCTGTCAAGAAATAGTAATACTGACAATGGAGTATCACTGAAGGGTTTTAAGCAATGGGGAAAAATAGAAGATACATATTTTCAGGAAAATGACTCTGGGATAGGAGGGGAGGCTGAACTAGAAAGGACAGGACTAGACCTGGGAGAAAGCAGGCTGTTGGAAAGAAACAAAAACTAAGACAATGAAGATAGGAAAGAGAAAACAGAATCAAGAGTTACTGAAGAGCGAGGTCGGAGGACTGACTGCTTGAGGTCAGGAGTTCGAGACTAGCCTGAGCAAGAGTGAGATTCCATCTCTGCAAAAATAGGAAAATTAGCCAGGTGTGGTGGTGCCCACCTACTTGAGAGGCTGAGGCAGGAGGATGACTTGAGCCCAGGAGTTTAGGGTTGCAGTAAACTAAACTATAGATGACACTACTGCACTCTAGCTGGGGTGACAGAGACTGTCTCAAAAAAAAAAAAAAGTTATTGAGAGGACATATACTCAGAATCCAGAGTTACCTGACATGCTTAAAAAAGGAATCGAGGCCGGGCGCTGTGGCTCACGCCTGTAATCCTAGCTCTTGGGAGGCCGAGGCGGGCGGATTGCTCAAGGTCAGGAGTTCAAAACCAGCCTGAGCAAGAGCGAGACCCCGTCTCTACTATAAATAGAAAGAAATTAATGGCCAACTGATATATATATAAAAAATTAGCCGGGCATGGTGGCGCATGCCTGTAGTCCCAGCTACTCGGGAGGCTGAGGCAGAAGGATCACTCAAGCCCAGGAGTTTGAGGTTGCTGTGAGCTAGGCTGACGCCACGGCACTCACTGTAGCCTGGACAACAAAGTGAGACTCTGTCGCAAAAAAAAAAAAAAAAAAAGGAATCGAAAGCTGAATTCAGAGATATATATAGAGATAGTCATAGGTAGGTATATCTTTGTAGAAGAAAGTACAAAGAAGGAAGGTAAAAATGAGAAAAGGCTACAAGAGTGAATTACTGAAGAAGAAACCTAGATTTCAGGAAGCACTTTTTGCTGTGGGCACACCAAGGAAAACTGGAACTAAGAAAAGGCACTGGATGCAGTAATTAACTAAGGAGGTCACAGGTAGATATAAATGGCAGAGCTAGGATCAAATACAGAATGTTTGCCTTCAAGGCCCAAGCCATATTCAAGATATTTTATTAAATAAAAATTGTAAAGAAAAGGGTAAAAAATAAATTAAATGACAAAACAGCAACAGAAACAATTTGGAAAATGAGAAAATCAAAAATACATTATGACAACAATCTCATTATAGTATAAGAGCTAAAAACATCAACTTTGGAGCAGAACTTCGGATTTGAATCTCAGCTTTGCCAATTACTAACCGTGTAATTTATTTGAACCCAATCATTTTCATGGTTTCAGTATCAATGCCATATTGAAGAAAATCAAAATCTGAATCTTATTCAGCTATGTAATGGATAGGTCAACTTTAATGCCTCTCGTTTCAAACATATTTAAAATTGAACTCATCTCCCTCCAGAATTGGTTTTCCATTCCAACATTAACATTTTGATCACATTCTCCCAGTCACTAAAATTTAGAACCTTAGAAATATCTTCTTCCTCCCTTGTCAGTACATATTCCTTCAAAACCTACAAAGCCTAATCTTCATATTTCCTCTGGAATTCTACTACTACTGGTCCTACATTATGTTGTAATGTAAACACCTCTGGTCTTACCTCACACTCTGCTTGCTCTGCATGCCAAATTATCTTCCTAAAGCTTCCCTGTTAGAAAAAAAATCTTGCCAGGCGTGGTGGCTCACGCCTGTAATCCTAGCACTCTGGGAGGCTGAGGCAGGTGGTTAGCTCGAGGTCAGGAGTTCGAAACAGCCTAAGCAAGAGTGAGACCCACGTCTCTACTATACAGAGAAAGAAATTAATTGGCAACTAATACATATAGAAAAAATTGGCCAGGCATGGTGGTACATGCCTGTAGTCTCAGCTACTTGAGAGGCTGAGGCAGCAGGATTGCTTGAGCCCAGGAGTTTGAGGTTACTGTGAGCTAGGCTGACGCCACAGCACTCACTCTAGCTTGGGCAACAAAGTGAGACTCTGTCTCAAAAAAAAAGAAAAAAAAATCTTACAACTCATAGGAAGGTTCCACAATAAGTTATCATTTTTAATAAATGTGCTTGAACAAGATCCCTGCTGGCAGCTAATACCATAACCTTTTTGTCACAAGCAATGTGGGAATTTTTCAGCAGAAGGGAATACATTAGAGCTGGTAAAGCTTCCTAATTTCCTTTCTACCATCCCATCTGAAACTTACCACCACCCCCGTATGGTAAGTTTAAAGGACAATATTAAGCCTCTCCTTGGGAATCATGGATATACAAAACAATTTTATGGAAAGAGTGCTTATCATAGCATTGATTATAAGGAAAAAAAATGAAATAACCTAAGTGTTCATCAATAGGTAATTACTTAAAAATACACAAATATGGTTCATCCATGTAGTAAAATACTGCACAACCATTTCTACTACTGCTGCTAATACTAGCTAGCATTTACTGAATGCCTATTTTCTGCCAATTATTGTGCTAAGCACTTTTTACAAAATCATTCAAAAGTTCTCCTTTATAAAAGTTGGGGAGCTCTCATCTACAAATGTGAGTCCCAAAGCCTTATTTATCTTTGTGTCCAAAGACCTCCATAATTTGTCCACATCTGTCTTCTTTAGATAGCTTACAATATTTCTTTACTTATACTCTAACATATTAATATATGGCCTATTTACATTCCCTCCAATTTTTCTGTTCATAAAATTCTCCTCTAATTTGGGTCTATATTTTATTTTCTATCTGAATTCCACCTACCCAAATCCAGCTTATGACCTATATTCTTCTTCCTTGAATTTTCAACTTTTCTTATACTACATATACAATCCACATTAAATTTCTCTATCCTGAACAATTTGGGGGAAGCTAATCTGCATGTCCCTCTTGTAGTTTAAGTTATCTTTTCATGGGTATAAGTATTCTGTTAACTAGATTACATACTTTTACTTAATACTTTCACAGTGCTTACAATTAAACAGGCTATGTTCTAAAAACTTTTCAAATATTAACTCATTTAGTCGTGTGTAATAATGTTGCAAAAAAAAAAAAATACAAAACGCCAAAACCTCATTTAATTCACAGATGTCAGTAGCACCCTACTGAATCAGCTATAATTATTACCCAAGTATTACAGATGTAAAAACTGAGACACAAGGAGGGTAAGTATCTTGCCCAAGGTTACAAAGTAAGTGACAGAGTGAGATTTGAAACCTAGTAAGTCTGGCTCCAGACATGAATCATAACCATTATGGTATGGTACCTCCTTGACTGAGATCTGAGCTCTCCAACACTTCTCCAGTAGAAGCAGTGGGGAAAATCATAGTATCCCTGTCCATAACAGACACTAAAATATTGTTATTGTACACTTACAGTGTACCCAGGTAAAACAATATAGGTATAACTCAATTTATGTGAGATGTGCTTCTAAAAGTTTCCTTATAAACCAAATTATTTTAACTCAAATATGTGATACACCAGTAAAGTATATATATGATCAAGGGATCCCTCCTAAATCTTTTTTCCTTTCATAATGAAAAACTTAAGCCCTACTCACTTAAGTATTATAAATCATCTC